CCTCCTGGCCTTCCGTGCGGTCGCTGGGCACCCGGAGGGCTGTGAGGTTCCCACGCAGAAACCCTCCCCCAGATCCCTGCCGATTCGATGTTTCGGAGAGGCCCCTGCCACCCTGTCACGGGCTTTACTCCCTTTAGGAGCCGGCTTTAATCCGAGATGCGGACGTTTGCCACCGGGGATTTGTGAGCAGTCCTGCCACGTCTCCCAGTTGCCCTGCTGGTCACTTGGGTGGCGGGTGGAGGTGACCCAACTATTACACACAGGAAAGGGGGGTGCCCACAGGTGATCGGATACGCTTTTTGCACACGGAAGAGTAAATATCTCGAGGGTCACGCCTGGGTCCTGTTTATCTGCCTTTCTGACGACGAAAGAAGGACGTTTAGCTGGTACCCGGGCGGTGTGAGCTAAGGAAAGATGCCATATCTGAATATGCCTTTAAAAACCTGGTCTATCTGCAAACACAGGTAAACCCACTTACCTGGCATGAAATAAGAGGCCTGAGAAAACCTGACCTGATGCCGTCTCAGGTTCTGAACAACGAGGGTCGCTTGAGGAAAACCTAAGAACAGCCTCTCCCCTACGCACTTTGCTCCGTAAATTCCAAGGATGACGCTTGTTTCTACAACAGCAGTCGGTGGGACGGTCTCCACATCTGCCTTTTAGACCTTGGCGGGAAAAGCCAACGGGGCTTGGGAGGCAGCGGCCTTACAACAGGTACTAAGAATTAGGAGAGTGGTCGTAACGTTTCTCTCGGCCGCTTCCGTCATGGGAATATTCACATCGACCAAGAGAAGAGACCTTTTAGCAAACAAGCCTGGTTTGGGATTTAGAAATCCCTGTTTGTTAATTTAGAAATACGGAGGGGGCGCCTGGCTGGTCCATCCATTAAGCGGCCAACTTCCGCTCAGGTCACGATCTCACGGTTCGTGGGTTCGAGCCCCGCGTCGGGCTCCGTGCTGACAGCTCAGCGCCTGGAGCCTGCTTCGGATTCTGTGTCTCCCTCTCTCTGTGCCCCTCCCCTGCTTGTGCTCTCTCTCTCTCTCTTTCAAAAATAAAGAAACGTTTAATTGTGCTCTCTCTCTCTCTCTCTTTCAAAAATAAATAAACGTTAAAAAAAAAAAGACATATAGAAACAACCTAAGTGTTTAAGAGCTGGCATGTGGTCGGCTATGACAGGTGCCACGGACTGCAATTTGGTCATTAAAGCGAGGCTGCGGGGGATGTCCGTGTCTGGAAACGTGTGTGTGCGAAGAACCACCACGAGAGAGCAGCAAACCACAGTCCGCGAGACCCAAAGGCGAAGAAGGAAACGAACGCTTGAAGGTGACGTTGAATCGGAACCGTTCCCGACAGCGACCAACCAAACCATCCCTCCAGGTCTTGGTGTGGCCCCTGTGGCTCAGAGCCCGTGCAGTCGGTGTTCTCGGACAGGGGGACTAGGTTGTCCAGGGGGATATTTCCAGCCCACCCGCCTAAGGAACAGCCGGGAAGGGGAGGGCAGGCTGCTCTCGCGTCTCTCCTGGAGGGCGCGTGCGGGGAAGGCAGTGAGTACCTCGTTCTTCTCCCAGAGCGTCAGCTCCTTCTTTGACTGTTCCAGCTTCTGGGACCGGTCCACCACGAAGTAGATGAGGTAGATGCTCCCGGCGAGCGACAGAAGCACCAGGATATTGGCAATAACCCTCAGGCACACGGTCACTACCCTGCGGGGAGAGGCGAGCGTGAGGATGGGGCGCTGGGCTGCGCTCCGGGCGCCGCGTGAACGACGGGACCCACCTCGTGTCGTGTGAACCCTCTGCCCTGAAGCGTCGGTGCTCTCCCTACCCACCCCCAAACTCCTCCTCTCCTGAGGGATCAACGAGGACTTCTAAGCCCACCCCACTGCCCTCAGGGGGACTCGGGACAAGTCTTGCGAATCTGACACTGTGCACAGGTCCATGCGGTAGGTGATCAGCTGTCTTTCCCTCGAGAACATACGCTCTGAAATGGTTTACTCTTCCTCGCCGTGGTATGCTCAGCTCCTGGAATGGGCCCAGTGCGTATAAACACATCCTAGCTTTTTTCTAGATGATTTATGAACGAGGAATGGAACAGGGGTTTGCTCTTTCCTTGCTAACTCTGGGGGCAAACTCACTGATTCCAACTGCTTCTATATATATATTTCTTATCTTTTTATTAAAAAAAAATTTTTTTTTTAGTGTTTATTTGTTTTTGAGACGGAGAGAGAGAGACTGAGCATGAGAAGGGAAGAGGCAGAGAAAGGAAGACACAGAATCTGAAGCAGGCTCCAGGCTCCGAGCTGTCAGCACAGAGCCCGACGCGGGGCTCGAACCCATGAACCGTGAGATCGTGACCTGAGCCGAAGTCGGACGCTCGACCGACTGAGCCCCCGAGGCGCCCCAACCAACTGGCTTATTTTGAAGGCATCTTCTTCCAACTTTGGGGCCAGACTTAGCCTGGGTTTCCCTGCAAACAGAGCATCAGGCAAAGGCCTGTTTGCAAGTACTTTACTCGGGATGTGATCCCAGGGGATCTATGGGGGAGACGGGAGAAAGAGCAGCCAGAGGAGGGTACGTGACAGACTTGGCCACAGCTCGCGGCAACGGCAGGGCCTTCTGAGGGGCTTGCGAGCTGTGTCTCAGGACGGTCTGCCCGGCGAGAAGTAGGGAAGCCTCTGTCATCGCTTTCCTCCCTGCGGGTCAAGGGTGGCTCCCCGAGAGTGAACCCCCGGCGTTGCCCCTAGCCTGTCAGATTCCCGTGCACGCACGCTGGCCGGGGTTCGGTGGGTGCCCCACACTGCAGCCTCAGAGGGGCTGTGGGGGGGGCACTGAGCAGCGGGTACCAGTGAGGGGTGAGGGGTGAGGGGTGCGAGGGGCCGTGTGCACACAGCTGTGGCGCCCCCACGGCCCTGCCCCGCAGCAGGTGCTGGAGGAAGAGGCGTGGCCAAGGAGGACGTGAAGGGCACAGAAGAGGTGTACCAGCCTCTCTGTAAAGCGTAATTCCACCCTCCGGGTGACCTCGGGCTGGTCGCGACACCCCCCTCCACATCAGTGGTGGCCCTTCATCATCTGTACAAGGGGGAAGCTCACCCCCAAATGATCTGATGAACGTCACCTTGTCTTTCTGTGCAGAACTTTAGATGAAGAGTCAGAACACTGCCGATGGAGGATCTGAGGGAGGGTGAGGTCCATTCACAGCGTCCTGTGCTTGCTCACCTGCTCCTGTGCCCAGACCACACTGCCGTCCTGTGTGGGGGTCAACCAGGGCGCCCAGGACACGCTATGGGGGGGGGCAACTTGTTGGTCTCCGTGCTGACTGCGCCCAACAGTGCACGTGACGGGCACAGGCTGGGGTCGCCAGTCAAAGGTTCACTTCCCCCGTCTCTACCCAATCCTTCCGCGTCCTGTGATAATATCCTGGATATCCCAGAAGGCCTATCGCGGGCCTATTCTCCCCAGGTTTTGGCAGCCGCGGGAGGATTCAGGAGTCGCTTGTGAAGAGACTTGGGGAACAGGCTATTCTTGCTGCTGATGTATTTGCTTATCATGATGGGTCGTGCGTCATCTTGCAGTCAGACGCTGCAGTTTTTAAATGTGGGGGACAGCAAAATCACCTGGTAAGAATGTGGATCGTGGTGGCCCACATCCAGACGTTCTAACTCAGGGAATCGGGGTGGGCCCCAAAGTGGTCGGCATGTTTTGTGCCCGGGGGGTGGCTGTGATGGGTGGGTGCTCTCTGCCCTCTGAGAAGTTTCTATGGAGCCCCATTCTCGTTTCACAGGGGAGGAAGTGGAGGCCCGGAAGGGCCAGGGGACCGTCCTGGGTCGTGGGAGCTAAGGACGAAGGGAGAGTAGGCGCCCCTCCCCCGCCTCCCTGTGGGGAATCCTTCCCACCTGCTTCCTCAGGGGCTTGCGTGGGCTTGCGCACCTCCCCACGTCCACGGCGTGGCTCCGACAGGCTTTCTGCGCCACGGAAACGAATCCAGGGGCTAAAGACCCAGGGAGGATGTCAGAGAGTTGTCCCGTGAGGACAGGTCACTGTCCCTTGGGGGATTGGCCCTTCCGTGTCAACTCTCTGGCTAAAGGGCCTCACCTCACCCAGACAGCCCTCAAATCCCAGAGAAGTTCAGATCTGAGCCATCACCTTGGAAGGCTTGTCGACAAGAATTGGATACTATTTGCGTCTTGTGACTTCTGGGATTTGTTGCTCGGGGACCTGGGTGGCGCAGTAGGTTGGGTGTCCGACTTCCGCTCAGGTCGTGATCTCGCGGTTTGTGGGTTCGGGCCCCACGTCGGGCTCTGTGCTGACAGCTCGGAGCCTGGAGCCTGCTTCCGGTTCTGTCTCCCTCTCCCTCTGCCCCTCCCCCGCTCACGCTCTCCCTCTCTCTCTTTCTTTCTCTCAAAAATAAATAACCATTAAAAAGAATAAAGTACTCTTTGCTTAATTTAGCAAGCTAGAAATTGGTGCTAAAAATACCTCCTTTATTATCTAAGTAAAAGAACTCTCACACTGTGGCCTGATCTAAGGAGGAAGGAGCCACTCTTGACTACTGCTACTGACCGATTAGATTACAGGCTTCCCACGTGTCACATTACTAGAAAGACGGATTTTAAGAAGAAAGAAGAGGGGCGTCTGGATTGCTCAGTCAGTCAAATGTCCAATTCTTGGTTTCAGCTCAGCCCATGACCTTGCATTTTGTGAGTTCAAGCCCTGCATCGGGCTCCATGCTGACGGTAGGGAACCTGCTTGGGATTCTCTCTCCCTTCTCTGTTTGCCCCTCGCCTGTGCTCTCTCTCTTTCTCTCTGTCTCAAAACAAATAAATAAACTTAAAAATATTTTTAAAAACGAAGAAGAGCTACCTGACGATGTGTCAAAATAAGATATAGATAGTTGGATCATTTTTGTGCCACATTAAAGTAGCATTTCAACGAATGAAGCATGGGGAGTCTCCATACGTACGGGTTTTTACTTTTCTCCTTCTCCTGTTCTTCCAGGATGGCCTCCTTTAAGGAAAGACACATTCAGTTAGAAGCTTAGTGTTACCATTAATCATAAGTCTTCAGAATTATTTCATGATAAGAAATGATGAGTCAGTATCTGGAACCGCTCTGGGAGACGTTGTTGACATCAGTGCTTTGTATAATAATTAGATGAAAACAGAGGGGCGCCTGGGTGGCTCGGTTGGTTAATTGCCCAACTTTGGCTCAGGTCTGGACCTCGCTGTTCATGAGTTCGAGTCCTGCGTCGGGATCTGTGCTCACAGCTCGGAGCCTGGAGCCTGCATCGGATTCTGTGTCTCCCCTCTCTCTGCCCCTCCCCTGCTTGCACGCTGTCTCTCTCTCTCTCAAAAATGAATAAACATTAAAAAATAATTAAATTAAAATAAATACATATGGGGGCTTGGGGAGACGAGGGGGCAGAGCATGTTATTTGATAAATGAAATGATCTAATGGTATTTCCCGAAAGGGGCAGCATTGAGCTGTCGGGTTGCTCAGTAGACCCGAGTCCCTGCGAGCTTCTAACTGCTTCCTCTCCTGAGCTACCGCTAAAGCTCACGTCGCCAACACGCGTGTATTTTTTCACTCACAAATTACCTGCAATATGGCGGCAATCCCTTATGCAAATCACCAGCAATGCACCAACTGACATTTTCGGGGGATGAAATTTAGAAAATTAAAGTAAAGAGTTTTTCAGTGCCCCGTTCTGTATTCCATGGGATTGTGGGTGCACGGGGCCGGTCCCCTCGCCGAGGAGGACTCGGACTCTCGCGGAGGCCCAGGGGCTCCGCGGTCAAGGCTGCGGGCGAGGTCGGAGGACCCCTGACCGCCCTCGGCGCCCCCTGCGCCGCCCCACTCACCCTGATGCTGTTTACGATGGCGGCCGTTTTGCTCTCGGCGGCCTCCGGGTTTCCGATGAGGTAATCCCAGGCACAGAACACCCGCCAGCAGAACGTGTAGTTTTCATTGGAGGCTCTGGCGAGGCTCGTGCGCGAGTTCTTGGCCATCCTGCAAGAGAGGAGCCGGGACGAGCATGTGAGGGCAGCGTCAGATGGGCCCCGGCCGCCCCTGGGGGGCACCGGTGGGTCCAGCGCCCCTCTTGTGCAAATGGCATTGGCCACTCTGGTGGCCGGGAGGTCACTGAAGGCATGTGTGCCCGGGGCCGGGCAGTGTGACTGTGAAATCAAACTCTCCCTGGAGCTGACTTCGTCGTCCTGCCCACTGAAGGGAGCCTGTCAGGTGCCTCCTGCCCATGACACCCTTGAGATGCCTCTGAAGGCAGGAGCCGCCGTCCCTCTTCCTTCAGACTGAAGGTCAAAGTCCCTCTGCCTTCAGACTGTCTCCGGTGATAAGCTTTTATCTGTTCTCTCTCCACAGTCCTTGCTCCTGAGTTTGCTCTCATCCGTCTCTTAGATTGTAACATCGAGCAAAAGGCCTGTCCTCCAGGTGGGGGTTTTGAGAACCCCCCAGAAGCCAGGCTGGAAAGCTTCTTGCCAAGTGGAGGCCCCTGGGTCACTGTGCACCTCTTTAGGCTTTTGTTTTTTGATGGTGATGGTGATGGTGCCCACGAGGCTGACAGAAGCAGCCGGTGAGCCACGCAGGGTGGGGCCGGGTTCTCCCTGGACTCCCAGCCCGTCAGTCAGTCCGCTGTGTCTGGCCCCAATACAGAAGCGGGGCGTGTGAAGGCTGGCAGGGCACCCGGCCGTCTTGGGAGCCAACCCGCCCATTTTAGTAATGAGGCCCAGGGAGGGGAAGTGAGTGGCTGTGGGTCTCGCGGTGGGGACGGTGCGGGACGCCTCACCCCCAGCCACTTTGTCTTCCTCCCACCATGTCCCCTCTCAGTGATGGACCGGGTGTGCCAACCGCATCATGACGCGGACGAGCCTGTCCCTTACCGAACTCGTAGCTCGGTCACAGGCCGACGTGCGGCCAACGGAGAATGTTTGGCTCTCTTAGACCATCCTGTTCCTATCTCTGTCACCGCACTTACTAAATTGCCTGAAATTACGTTAACTGGTAAGTCTGTGGGATTCTTGTCTCTCCAGACCCAACCCGGAGCCTGGCACACAGCTGCTGGTTAAAATGAGCACATCTCTCTTTAGCTTTGGTCCCCCCACCTACAAAGCGGGTACAGTTCTGCCTTAACGTTACACGGTATTGGCCAGCTTGCGATCACACGTATCACTCTTGGCATGTATTTGGAGAAACTGAGCAGCCATACTTTTTTAAGAGGATGATGAAGCTGTAAGCAAACACAGCCATGCCCACCAGGAAGTACGCCAGGGGCAGCCGGTAGCCCGCTCTCCCGATCCTTCTCTCCCTGCCGTAATAGCCGTAGAAGAGGACAGAGTACTGTAGATAACCCTGCAAAGAGAGAGCACTCAGCGTCACTTCCGGGCTCCAGAACTGTGGCCCCCGTTCAGCCCTCCCTCAAGATGAGAGTGCGACCCAGCCTCCACCTCACCCCCAGGGACCAGACGGTGTCCAGGTCTTGGGCAGACATAACACTCTCCTTGGGGATCGTCTTGCTGTCCGTGCTTCCGAAGGGCTGGCCCGCAATGAGCTGGTGGGAGAGAACAGGACGTCGTGGGATCCTCAGTGAGGGGAGGGGACCAGAAGAAAAGGGGTGGCCGATCCCCACGGCCTGTGAAGGCGTTGCACGTGTGAGATCTCTAGGGGCTGGATTTCTGTTGATTCTCACTGATGGAGAGGTAATCCTGGGTGGGCAGATTTTCTCTTCGCTTGATCAGCCCGCCCGGGGTATTCTGTCTCTGGGCTGGACGGGGCTTCTACAGATGGGTTTTTGGGGTCACCGGGTTTCTTTGATGGCACGGAAAATAACCCCATTTACTTTGGGAGGACAAAGGTTAGTTGAGAAGTGGGTTTTATTTGAACAGTGTCTGCACACTGGCCCAGATGCCGAATCTGGCCTGTCTCCTCTTTTTGAACAGCCTAAGAGCTAAGAAGCGTTTTTGCATTTTTAAATGGTTGGAAAAGAATTAAAAGAAGAATGATATATTGTGACACTTAAGAACGATCTGAAAGTCAAATTTCAGTATCCATAAATAGAATTCGACTGGGGGCGCCTGGGTGGTTCAGTCGGTTGAGCGTCCGACTTCAGCTCAGGTCGTGATCTTGAGGTTCATGGATTCAAGCCCCGCATCAGGGCTCTGTGCTGACAGCTCAGCGCCTGGAGCCTGCTTCGGATTCTGTGTCTCCCTCTCTCTCTGCCCCTCCCCTGCTCACTCTCGCTCTCTCAAAAATAAATAAACATCAAAAAAATTTAAAAAAAAAATAGAATTCTACTGGAACACAGCCACACTGTTCACGTGCCATCCGTGGCCACTTTCACACCGCGTGGCAGACAGAAGGGGTGTGACAGGGGCCGCGTGGCCCCGCAAAGCCGGAGCTATTTACTAGCTGGCCCTCCACAGAAAAAGTTTGCTTGAATACAAGGTTGATGAGGGGAGTCGTGTTATGAAACTGCTCTGACATCTCTTGTTTTTAACGACTGGCATTTTTATCTCTCCTGAACTAGTTCTTACCTCTGGAATGACGATAAAAGCACCTGTCATAATTGTGAGCACAATATTAATTCCAAATAACCATCTCAAGAATATGAAGTAGGAGGCAACACCAGATCCAAAATGACCTAAAGAAAGACAAGATAATAAGAACAATTAAAAAAAAAAAGAAAAAAAACAAAAAAACCCAAAAAACCCAAGACAAACAAACAAAAAAAACCCCACACGCACACAAAAACCAAAAACCAAAAAACAAAACAGTATAAACAGGATGAACAATATAAAACCCTCACGGTGCAAAGTTCTCTGTAAGCAACGTTGCAGTTGTTCGTGTATCGGGGCACAGACCAAGAAGGCCAACTGGGGTGTTCCCCCAGAATAGTCATTTACGTGGGTCAAGATGTTCCCTGGTATTTCCAGTTATAAGCACACACAAAAAAATCCCTAATTTCATAAGTTCCCTAATGACATATTCATTATGTCATTATACTTCAAATTCATTATGTCAAAATACTTCTGAAATACTCGTCAAATTTACAACATTTCATGTATGTTCAGAAGAACATCAGCATCTTTTGAGGGGAGCCTGGGTGGCTCAGTCGGTTGAGAGTCTGACTCTTGACTTCTACTCAGGTCATAATCCCAGGGTGGTGAGATCGAGTCCCGCATCTGGCTTTGCACTGGGAGCCTGCGTGGGATTCTCTCTCTCCCTCTGTTCCTCTCCCCTGCTCATGTGCTCTCCTTATAAAAATAAAATTAAAAAAACCCAACTCTTTTAAAAAAAGAATCAACATCTTTTGAGAATTTGATATATATATATATATGTATATGTATATATATATATTTCATTTGTTACAGTTTTGAGAATTCCCAGGATTTTTCTTAGAATTCTTTTGTCTTAATTTCAAGATATATAGCAATTGGCTAGATGTTAACATTAGGGGAAACTGGGTAAAGGAATTATAGAAACTCCTTACAACTTTCCTATATACCTACACTTTCCTACATATTTTATTCTAAATAAAAAGTGTATTCAAAACATAATTTCTGTTAAGAAGATAAGGGTGTGTGTGATTTGTACCATACTTAAAAAAAAATCCCCTGAATTTGTATTTCAAATTTAGTTTACGTTGGTCACAATAAATAGGAAAACACAAAACATCACAAAGAAAAAAAAAACATTACCTATTCTAGAACACTAAATTAAAATTACTATTAGAGTTTCTGGGGCGCCTGGGTGGCTCAGTCGATTAAGCATCTGACTTCGGCTCAGGTCATGATCTCGCGGTTTGTGAGTTCAAGCCCCGCGTCGGGCTCTGTGCTGACAGCTCGGATCCTGAGGCCTGCTTCAGATTCTGTGTCTCTCTCTCTCTCTCTGCCCCTCCCAGGCTCATGCTCTGTCTCTGTCTCTCAATAATAAATAAACGTTAAAAAAATTTTTTTTAATTACCATTAGAGTTTCTAACAAGCTTTTCGTGTGACCCCTCATTAGTATTCTCCACGTATAGATTTTTTGTATAAAATTGGCATCTGTCTACAACATGCATCTTGAGTTATTAATTATTATCAGCATTTTCTCACGCAAAAAAAAATTCTTCCATGAAATAAATTGTATTGCTTCGTCAGCTGAATTTTCCGTAGTTTACTTAACCTCGCCCCACTCCCGGCCATTTCTGACTTTTCACTTGGTGGGGGATTCACTGGGGTGAATAAGTCTGCCATAGACCATTTCTGTCCAAGGTCAGGGCACGCTGGGCAAGTGCTCTCTGGAGAAAGGGAGTGTGGGGGTCAGGGCAGGTCAGGGGAAAGGGCCAAGCAAGGATACGGTGCTGGAGCCTGGCTTCCGCCGATCCCCCGGTGGATCCTGGAAGGCAGATTGCACAACACGGTGGGTCGGCCCCACTTGGCACAAGGAGCTGGACTTCGTCCATCACGGCCTCTGCGCCCTCGGCTGGGGCAGGTGATGCGTGCCCCGCATCTGGAACAGTGTTGGCCCAGGGTGGCGCTCCGGAGACCTGGGGTGGGGGGTGGGGTGGAGGGGTGGGGGGGGAGGGGCAGCCGTGAGTCACAGCATCCACACCCAGAGCTGCTGGGAAGAGTTGGACCAGCCAAGTCGAGAAATCCGGGTGGGGCACCGACTTTGTCCGCCTGCGCTGATTTTTGTCGTGGCTCTTGTTTCTTCTGTCGTTAAGGGATGGGGGAGTTTTATCGAAGGGCACAAACAGCATGAAGGTTTTTGCTACAAATTTTAACTTTCCCCCGGAGACGCCTTCCCAGTGGGCAGTCCCGCCCATCGCGTGTGCCGGTGCTAAATTCCACTGAAATGCCGAAAATGGGCTTTTCTCCCTTTGACTCTCAGCTTTGCTGTCTCAAGGATGGAGGCTGCCTTTATAGGTGACCAAATGCAGCCCTCTCTTCCTTGATGATTTCCTTCTTCACCTTCGGGATTGGACGGGCTTCTGTCCTGATCCATTCGGAGATCACACGCTCTGTCTTAATTCTTTCGTGGTTTCCCTATTTTATGTTTAATAGCTCATGGGACTTTAAGTGGAGGATCTAACAGAACTCTGTAAGAATCCAGTGTATCTGCAGTGCTGTGCTACAGATTCAAGGGCGGTAGTGTTCCTCGTGTCCTTGAACCCTTTGGTTACGCAAGCTCATGTGCATCTTCAAAAAAATTTTTTTTTCGACGCGTCTTCTGGGTGGTTTTCTTCCATATACGTTTCACGATCATCTTGTTGAGTACAGAAAATTAAAAAACTGCGTTGAGGTTTTTACCGCAATTGCTGGAAACCTGTAAAGTGACGTTAAGAAGGTCCACATCTCCCAAACATGAAGTCACCTGTGCCTCTCACAAGACTCTTGAGATATGCGGTGGCCCAATTTTACCGCTTTCTTCATTTCAGACCCACTGTTGAGTTTGTTCCTGGCATTGTGTGCTCTGTGTTATGGGTGTGTGTTGTGTGAACGAGTTTAGAATATGTTTTCTAAATGGTGCCACTCACCCCTAAGAAAATGCAGATTTCTGAGTTTTGGTTTGGCAAATGCTCACATCAACCTTGTGCAGTTTTCCGCCTGCTCCTTCTGGGTCTGTGTCGGGTCCGAGTCACGAACGACCCGTGAGCCGCAGCGAATGTGGGACAGCTGTCGTCCGGGGAAGCGGCGGACAGATGCCTTCCGTCTCCACCGTCCCGCGTCCAGCCCGGCGCCTCACCACGCGCAGGGCGAGGACCAGGACACGGAGCCCCTTCTTGGGCCACGCTGTCGTCTGGCCACTGGCAGGGCCTCCCCGCTGCCCCCCCCCACCCCCCGAGCGCCCACACTTACTCTCGATTTTCTTTATCCTCATTTCCCAGGGGATGAAGGTGGCCATGAAGTTACAGGCCCCGCGAGCAAATTTCCGCCAGAGCTGGAAAGGAGGGAGCAGGGTTAGCGGGCCTCGCATTTGTCAGGATGGCAGTGACATCGTGACGCTGAGGTCCCTGGTGGAGGAGAGGTTCCCAGACACGCCTGTGATTATGACGTCATAGGACTTGAGGCCACACTAGGACCAGAGCAGCCCCTGTCCGCTCTTGGTAGGGTGACGACACCTGCTTGGGACCTGAGCTGCGGCGTCTGTATCGACGTGCGTATGGTCCAGGGTCACAGGCTGCCTTATTCCTACCGTTCCCGCCCTGGGGACTAGTGGAAATCCCTTGAGGAGTGATGTCCACTCTGAGGTTGGGGCCCAGGAGTCCGCATGGCCAGCAAACTGCCCCGATGACCACAATTCCCCGCTTGGGGGATGAGAGTCTAGAACATACGGCGGGCAGGGCTCGTGCTCTGCCCGCCGTGTGCCACCTGTCCCGCACCTGTGCCGGTCTCCTGCCCTCTCTCCTGGCAGAGGCCACCAGCGGGGAGATCTGCAAATTCGTCTTGTGTGTTTAAGAGACAACTGCCAAGAGTTCAAGCTCTCTCTCTCTTTTTTTTCTCCTCTCTCTCTTTCCTCTGAGGAGAACAAAGCACAGCGCGCCGGGACTCCGGCCGCTCCCTCACAATGTTGGCAGGCTGTCCATTTTAACACACAAACAATCCCGGCTTGTGTTGGAAGCAAATGATATCACCGCGGAAAGAAGGGCTCCAAATGCAATTATAGGATTCTGAAGTCTGAGACAGCGCGCGGTCCTGATGCTTGAACGCACGATCGTGCCGTTCGGGTCGTGCCTGCCGAGGCCAGACACGCGAAACGCAAATCTGTTTGAGTTTCACCAGACGTTGTAATTGTTGGTCTTCTGTTCGTGACCCAAGACGCAGCTCAGACCTAACCACGCCCGTGATGTGTCCGCACAGGGTCTCTGGAGAGAGGCAGACCCTGCTCCCTGCAAACTTCCCGGCCATCGACATTCTCGTCATGCTCAGCTCATCCTACCTCGTGCTGCCCTTCTGTTTTTTTTTTTTTTTTTTTTT